CCCCCCCCCCCCCCCCCCCCCTCCACCGTTAGCCCTCAGCCATGACTCTTTAACAAGCTTTTAGCCAGGAGAGAGACCACCCTCTTCAACATCCAAATGAGGAGACAAAAAGGAGCTTTTTCTTACCCCAGGGTGGGCGGCAGGAGGGGGTGATACACAGCGATTACACACAGAGCCTTTTGTTGCTGTGGATTTCAAAATGGGGGTTTCAAAGCATGGGGGATTAGCGGTGAGAGCGACATTCAATTAAGATGAGATCTCGCCGCGCTTGACGGCGACGATGGAGCTGCCAATTAATCGCCTTAATGTCTGCCTCTTTGCAGCTTTACACCTTTACCTCACAATGACAAGAAAGAAAAAATCTAATGATTGAAGGATGGTTCTGGAGGAAAAGGGAGACACTGAACATTCTCCCCCTCCAGCTTGAAGACCGACAGAAAGACAAAAAGAATGGAAGGATATAGCATCAGTTGACGGTTGGACTAGAGAGACAACAACAACACGGGAGAGTTTTTTTCCGCCCAACAACCCCTTTTCCTGCGGGCTGGCCTAGGCTGGCTGGCAACAGGGGGTCAGCCATGTGCACGCTGACCCCCCCATCCTGTCCTCGGCAATCTAAAGAAACACACTTTCACTCGCACAAAAGCAGATGCATCATGCCCTCAACAAGGTTTAAAAAGAAAACCTGCATAGAGCCATCATCTAATCTCCACCCAGTTAAACAAAGGGAGCGACGCAGAAACGCTGACAGGAGCGAAATTGCAATAGGAAGTTATCTCTTTTTAATTACTTATGGAGACTGAGTGAAAGCAGGAGATGGGGTCTTTTTGTAGCCTCATTATGAGGCAAATTTAAAGGCTTTATTGTGATTCTTTTGTCTGACAGAGACCAGTGTCCCTCCAAGCAGCGACAAACACTTTCACAGAACCACACGCTCACCCGTGAAACATCAATAGCCGCTCCATTGAAACTAATCAATCAGCAGTGCAGCCTGTTCCTCTAAAAGTCTACTTTACCCGTACACCGAAAATAAAAAAAGGACTGAGTGCTGCAGTCAGAAAATGAATCGCGTGTGTTGGCAGCAGAGTGGCGCGGTAAGTATTAAAAAGTAGCCTTTTAGTCAGATGACTAGGAGTGGAACTCGCTGTGCAAAAAGTGTCGGAGCCGTTTGAGTGTTGCTTGGCAAAACACTGACTCCTGATCAGCTTGAGGGGAGCTGGCCTCCGACACCCCATCCAACGGCAGAGCTCTTGAGATGGAAATGTCTGGCTGGAATCATCCAAAAATGATTTCACATGTTGCAATGAATTTTTTTTCCATAACATTCAGGCTACTGAGAGGATGAACGTGGCCGTCTTTGGTCATCCCTGATGCAATAGCTTTTGTTTAGTTTGAAATATCTTGGCAGCTATTAAAGAGACCGCGGCTAAATTTAGCAGACATTTAAGCCCCGTGACAAGATAAAATGACATCTTTGTCAATCATCCTGATCTTTTTGTTAGATTCTAATTAGTTTTCTCCGTCAGAATGACTGAGAATTAACTACAGCGCTGAGAGGGAATGAGAAAGAAAAATAGCAGCTGTGAGGGAGAACACGTCACTGTAAAATGCTTATAAACTACCTTTGATGAACAAAATGCACAAACTTAGTAAGTAATGTAGAAGCTAATTTAATCATGCTATTTGATAAAATGCCAATTGCTCATCCATAATTACTAAATTTTCAACTTTTCCGAGCTGGCTTTCGACACTAGAAAGAAGTAAATGACAGAGATTCTTAACACTGATTAAAAACGGAAGCCTGCAGAGGCTTTTGTGATTTCTGAGTTGAGGAAGAGCAGAGTAAGCAGGTGTGCGACTGCGTTTGGATTTAAATTCAATTTTCTGGTGACAACAAATGCATCTTATGCTCCTGCGGAAACAAAAAAAAAGGCCTTGGAAGATATCAACCGTCTGCAACAGTGAAATTAGTCAAGGAAAACAAAATATTGTAGTAGAGGCAATCATCTAAACGGCTACCACACTAATAAAACGATTTGTATCAGAATATTACTGACACAAATTTGACTACTTCTGTGGCTACATTGAGTGTTGGGTGAATACTGGTGTGTCAGACATGCTGAGTGAAAACGGGCATGTAGACGGACACCTGCACTAAACACCTTTCTGCAGATGGCAGAGCCAGATGACCACGCTGGCTTGAGAGCATCTTAATTACATCTGCTGTGCTTTCACTTTGTACCGAGGTGCTACTTTAGGGTATAGAGCTCAACTAAAAGCTCCACGTTCAAGTCTTAGGAGCTGGAAAAAAAGCCATTAACACCTGACAAAGAGAAAAAAAACAAAGAAGGATAGAAAGAGAAGGACAGGGGAAGAAAATGTTCTCCCTTGGAATGTGCCGTGCAGATTTTCGAAAGGTGTGAATGACGTTTAATTTGGCTTAGAAGCAGTTGGCTGCACGCATTTTTCTGCTGGATTGGGTGTGCTACAATACAGACGAGTCCTGTGTGTTTTTTTTAATCATTATTTGGATGATTTTAATAAAGCGCTTGCTGCTCTCTTTATTCCTTTCCTCCCCCTTTCAGTAAATTCGGCGAGGCAGGATCTCTGGAGTACCTGTGTGTGGCGTTTGCGTGTGCATCTACGTGCGCTCGGGGCAACGTCAAAACATCTTTGAGGTAGAGGACTGAGCTGAAGATAAGGGCCAGATCTCATGGGGCACCAGTAACTTCAACAGCCTCGACAGAGATAGAAGTGAAGGCTCTCTCTCATTCTACTGCCCCTCCCATACCTCCCCCAACTCTTTAAGTCTGTCTCTTATGAGCAAATACGAGTGAGTGTTAGATGGAGGCTGTAGAGGCTCTTCAAAGTACACTTGTTATGCCAAGACTGCTGGGCCATTAATGAGGGCAAACTATTTTCGGAAGCAGTAACTTAGCTGTTTAAAGATTTGTGGTGTTCGTGTGTGTGTGTGTGTGTGTGTGTGTGTGTGTGTGTGTGAGGTAGGCCACTTGTGTTCAAGTTTCTATCAAGGACTAGGACGTTGTGCGTGTGCGTGCAGCCACTCTTGGTGTGAATATGCATCAGTCCCAACAAAGCTCTGCACGTCTCTCAATCAGTGCTTTGAAGAAATCAGACTAACCACAGAGGACAGCGGGCGAAAAAAAACAGGGGTGCACGGGGGAAATCATCATTTACAGAGGCCAGCATTTTCAAGAGGCCACCTGGCTGAGTGTGTTCATGTTTTAAAGGATGGATTTATTGATTAAATGTTCCCTGTGAGCCAAGGTCAGAATGTGTGTGTTTCACTGCTCCGACAGTGACTTCTGACCCCGTCAGCGGCTGCAGGTAAGCGGTCAGTCAACAGCAGAGGCGTGCCGGCCGGCGGGGGGACACTCGCACGCTTCCTGTGAGGCCGCTGGGCCTCGCATGCGTGACTTCCTCTGGCATCGCTGTGTCAACACACCAGAGAGGGACAGGAAAAGGCCAGAGCGTGCCCCGATTGTTTTTGTGTGTTCGGCTATGTGTGGTGCGAAAGGGCATCCACATTAAGGGGTTTGCAAAAAAATAAATAAAAAAACAATGTGGAGGAAATGTTTCAAAAACAAACAGTGAAGAGGAAGATGCTGATCAGCCAAAGCGGCACACTTCGCCATAAAGGATGGATGAGCTGGGGAGGTTGTGGGGACCTGATTGTTGTGTTGTTGTGTGTTGCGGCGCTCTTACCAGCTCCCGGGGCAGGAAGATGTCCTCCTGCCGCACCACCAGCACACTCACGCTCTCCCCCTGCTTGGTGCTGCGCAGCATGGCCACCAGCTCCTCCTGGCTCCGTCCCGCCATGTCTACTCCATTCACCTACGCACACAGAAGAGAAAATGCACAAACGGGAGCAGGTTAAAGTGGAGCGTCGTATCCGCTGGCTGCTCTTTGTTCCAACACATTTGCAATGAAACTTGAGGAGGAAAAGACTGAGCCTCTTCCGAGTTTATCTAGCTACCCTTAAATTTCTACCCTTGCCAAAATAGCAAGTTAATTAAAAATTTTCCCCCTGATATTTCGAATTTAATCCTATTTTTTAATCCTTGTGTGCACCGTTTTAGATCAGACACCAAAATGAAATGGACAGTCAGGGATTGCTATTTTTGAACATTGTGGAAGGTTCCTTGGATTGTGTAGGGAGTTTGGACTGCTTGTGTTTTGTGTCTCTAAAAACCAGCAGATCCATGTGTTCTCACTTTCATAATTAATTCAACAGCTAATATGATATTTGCACACTATCAGTCCTCTCTGAGATGGTTTGGGGCCCCTTTGGGGATGCCCCCTTCCTACTTTAAAAACAACCCTCTGCTTTGCAGCATTTAGAATAAGCAACTTTCATGCTTTTTGTCTTCATATTAACCCCTTTGGCCCTCATGCCTCACCGGAAAAAAATGTTCTGAGGTGTAACTGCAAAGAGTAGATTTTCCTGAGAATCATGTTATAGCCTGTGTTATAGCCATGTTATAACTTTTTTGGCTAAATTTGTTACTGTTGGTTTTTCTACCTGGTGGGAAGTCTCAAGGCCGAGGTCTGTCTTACCTCCAGGATGCGGTCTCCAGGCTGCAGGCGTCCATCCTCCACCGCAGCACCTCGCGGCAGGATATTTTTCACCAAAATTGGCCCGGGTCCATGGACAGATGAGTCTCTGGTTACAACAGTGAAGCCCAGACCTTGTGTGCCTAAAGAAAAAGAGCAACCTGTGTCATAGTGTGAACTGGGGGAAGTTAATAATCCTGCAAATGAGAATTCATTATGAATTTTAAGGCTTTTTAATTGAATTTTTATTGAATTCTTCCCCATTTCTCTGTTGTGTCAATTTGCTTCTTTCTTTCGTCTTTGACACTCACCACAGACCTTTTTCCCCCTCCCACTTCCTCTAATATTCTGCTTTACCCAGTCTGCGGTTTGAGTATCTTAGACCACATTAACTACTATTTAAGTCCCTTTTTCCCTATAGGGGCGAGTGGCCCGGCTCAGCCTCAGAGCTACCAGGAAACGGCTGCTCTCCTTGCTGGATTAGACAGACTCTACCTTTAATTTCACATGTGAGCAGGCTGAACGGTGGCTGACGAAGGAAGGTAGAGGAAGAAGATGGAAAAAAGAGGATGGAGGGAGAGAAGCTGAAAGACATTATTCCTTCTTGTGGCTTCCCTCTTTGGGGATGCGATTCCATAAAGATTTTACTCGTACTCGTGAGCTTATGATGACTTGCTTTGTGCATTAGTTTACAAATGTGTGTGTGTGTCTTTCAAAGGCCACACACACACGCACACGTATAAACCATCAGCCCCCAGAGCCTCCACCCTCTCCCTTTTTCACGGCCTCACAAGCCCCAAGCCATGAGTGAAATGTGCCATGCTCTGTGTGAGACTGTGTGTGTGTGCGCCAGGAGAGCAAAGCCGGCGTAGCATACTAAAGGCGCTGAATGATGCTATCTGGTCTCCAAGCTAAGCCTCTGCCTGCCCTACATTAACGCACCTCAACCTCGCCGCCTGTCAATCACAGAGAGAAAGAGCCTGTTGCCGAGGGAGAGGGTGTTAAAAACCCAATAATATCCCCAGCTCTGATCTTGCATCAAGTGAAAGGGATAGAGGTAGACAGGGGAGAGGAAAAAAAAGCAAACAAAAGGGGGATTGAGGTAAAAGGAGAAGAAATGGCAGGAATGAAAAGCAGCTAACAATAAAACAGCAGTGCAAAGGGCTTTCAGTAGCTGGTGAGCGTGCAGCCCAATTTAGCTGTCCAGATCAAACTATCCAAACTGGGCCTAACATCTGAATCACAATTTTAAACTTAACATGTCGGTGGGGAAAAAAAATTTCAATTCATTACAGACAAATATTTTTCAAGGAAATTGAAATTGCATCAACATCTGAATAACTTTTACCCTCTTCTTTGAAAAAGAGCAGAAAAGTGGGGTGTGAGACAGCAGCTTTTGTTCTAAATTTAAAAGCGTGCTCCAATAATGAAAGATGTCACTTCAGTTCCATCACTCCTGATGTCCCGATAAGCAACAAAAAATAAAGCTTCCCAGTTGACATAACTACTGAATTTCTCAAGTATTTCATCTACAGGCTCAAGTTTTTTTAATGAGGCATTATGTTTCTTTCAGAAATTTTGGCTGGAAAGCAGGGTGCAGGAACTCCTTTTTGGCCCTGTGGCGACAGCTCTCACAGTTAAAGTTTACCCTATATGTTCAATTTATAAACCTAAATGTTGACCTATAGCTGCAAAGATGGCCCAGCAAACCACTGCATGAGTACTGCCTTATTTTTTCTCACATCTAACATCAGGCAGCTGAACAGTTACCTTTTCTAAGGTCGATTTTGATCATTTTGCCTTCCTTCCTGCTTGCAAGGTTCAGAAGGCTTGGCAGGGCAGCATTCTTGCTGGCCAGAGGGCTCTGGTTTTGAGTTCTGGGCGTTGGGGAAGAGCTTGGGGCCCGGGCGGGAGGTGTTGGAGAGACTCTTTCCAGGGAGCCCGGCCCAGACTGAGAGTGGACCTGCGTGGTGCTCTGCAGAGAGGGCTCCGGGGTCTTAACACGCACGTCCGCTCGCCTCGTTTCTGCCTTGGGGTTCTTTTTGGAGTCTAGTTTGGGCTCTGGCTGGAGTTCAGTTAGGGCACGGGCTAACATTGGACTTCTTGTTTTTGAAGGGGAGTCTTTGCCATCGCCAGTGAAAAGCTGACCAATCAGGCTCTTCTCGTAGCGGGGCTTATTGGCCTCAGGGAGGACCTCCAGACACACTGTGGAGGACGTCATTGCCTGGCGGAACACCTCCTGAGACCTATGGGCAAAAAGAATAATTGAATTGTTATGCAAGCAAAAACCTATACATTTTACCATCTGACAGGAGGCATGAATAAAATATGCTCAGCACCCTGACTCCTCAGCCAGCAGCTCCTGCTTTGTGTGACTGTACAAGCAATAAAAAAAAAAAAACACAAAGCTCGAGCAGCATACAGATGGAGAACACACAGAATTGGAAAGCGAAGAATAAGGAAGGTGAATGAAGCTTGTGTGCCACTAATGGAGCTGTATTTCAGTTTGGATCAAGAACTGAGCGGCTCCTCCAGCTGGTTTGGGACACTGTGGTCCCTATCAGATGGAAAAACCTTGCAGCAGGCTGCCATTGCAGCTTTAATAGACTACTATCAGCAAAACAGACATCACAGTGGGGCGCATGCAGTTAAATAGAACCATTCTGCTCCAGCTCAGGGGAAAGGAAGGAGAAAAACCAAAAGAATGAGGACAGGAGTTGGTCTTGTGTAGTTTGAAAAGAAGACAAAATTAGGAACAGATAATAAAAAATGCACTCTGGTGAGAGGAGATGTGGAGAGATAGGAAGGAGCAGAGGATATAAGCAAATTGTTTGTCTGATAGGAAGCAAACTGAGTGACAGGTGGGGTGTCTTTGTAAAATATGTCACGGTGACGGGTAGGCAGGAGTATCCACCTAAGCGTGCACACACACACAGGATGTCATTTTCTGGGCTTTTTTGCGTCTGCTGCTAATCACATCCCCAAACTAACTGTATATACCCTCATTTCCAGGGTTATGTCAGGATAAGAATCTCACAGTTGTGTTTTTCATTAAAATCCATCTATAAACCTTCAGAGGTTTTAATAACTGCTGTCACTTGGGTTTTCAGCTATGCAAAACTGCTGGTCAATATAATCCAATTTCTCTTTTTTCAGGCCCATGAAAGGCTTTTCAATCTTTGGGTTTTAGTAATCATAATCTAATCTTTACTTGATACAGTATTAAAGTACTAAAGAAAATATGGATTTTGCACATAGTGTCCTGGGGTGACTCTTTATATGAGCCTCGAGAAAAAAAAGACCCGAGCAGACGGGACACTTGGGACGGTGGCACACAGTTGGCTTTGTTCAGACAGCACAGCAGGCTTTTTACATTTTGCATTTGAATTCAAGTTTCTGTCTGCTCATTATATTTAAGACTTAAAGTGATCAGCATACTGGAAGTCACTGTGGGTAGTCAAGGACCACCACATGCTATATATCTAATCACTCTGATTCTCCGCCAGATTTTTTACTATGAATGTGCCCCCTTCCCCTTTTCCCTTCTGTGGTTTTGCTTTTATACATTTGGCATTCCATCGCCTGCAGCTCAGTGCTCTCATTGTGGTTGATCACCAGTAGCTGGCCCGTGTCTAATGTGTGGCAGCAAATTGATATTTCATGTTTTTTGGCAGTAAATGAATATGTTTTTAAGTTATTTGGCTGTGTCTCCTCGTATTAAGATATGATTAAATGCTATTTAAGGAAATCCATTTAGAAACATCCTGATTTTACTATTTACTCAAGAGACACAAAGAAGAAAGTTGAACACTAGACTTGGGAGAATTGTTGCACACCTACAACCTTTCAGGCCTCAGATTGAATTTCTCAACACTTCAGTTTGCAGACAGAGATTCCGTCCAGTTCAACACCACAAGCTACTTACTGCGAGAAGGTTTTGTCCTGAAGCGGGGTGTCGTTGATCTGGACGATACATTCATCCTCCTTGAAGAGATTCTCTCTTTTGGAACGACTGTTTTCCTCAATGCCTTTAATGTGGAGGCCCAGAGTTCTGGGGAAAATGTGGATGATTACACGCCAACGCAAACATTTCACTGCCATCGGTCATTAAGTGTGTTATAAACGAGTTATAATATGAGTCTGAGAGCATGTGGGTTTACCGTCCACTGAGAGACGAGCAGTAGGGGACCACATGGATACCCAGGGGGCCCTGGTCACCAAAAAACTCAACAGTCCTCGTCAGATTACTGTCAAGACAAAACACAGGATATCACAGTGTTAATAGTATGACACAAACAACCCCCCGAAAAATTACAAATGCATTAAATCTAAACTATGAAAACACTCTAGGCCCATAGATGTACAAACTCTTCAAACCCTTTGAATTTTCCTCAGAGGGATAGAAATTAGCTTCAAGGTAGCCCTGACTAACCTAACGTACGTGTGTGTGTGTGTGTGTGTGTGTGTGTGTGTGTGTGTTTGTACAATAGGGACTCAGGTGGCTACTTCTCCTCTTATCTAGCTGCTTCTTGACTAGCCAATCTAGCCAGTGGACAAAAGAAGAGCGCAGGAGATAAAAGGGAGACCGATAGAAGAGCAGATTGAGTTGAAACAGAATGAGCTCCTCTAATAATCTCTGCAGAGTCTTGAACTGTTGCTTTTACCTGCGGATAAACAAGGACAATACAACTGCATAGAAACAGATGGAAAGCAGCATTTGATTGAGGACTTGTATGATTGGAGGCGTCCACTGTTTGTCTTCAAAAAACGTCCAATACAACAAGTTCAGCTAAATACCAGTGGTGTGTACAGTGTGCTTGGTAGGATGATGCAAAAAAAACAAAAAACAATTACATAAGGGCAAAATGTGTTGGAGGCAGGTTTAAATAATCATTTCTGTTTGCTGTAACTTGAGAATACTGGCAAGAAATTGTTGAGCCTGTGGGTCAATCACAGGAAGTAAAAACCATGACTTGAAACTGAAGCCAACAGAGTTAACGTAAACACTCCCCAAGTCTAATATTTCTCATCCAAAAACTATTTACTTTATTCACGAGCAGGAGTGCCTTTAAATCATTATACTGTCATTAGGTGTATGTTAGCCTTGAATAAAGCTATGGACTGGACCTGACAGATGTAAATATGTGAAATTATGAGTAACTTTAAAAGCAGACTCACTCTTATAATGCGTGACAGTAATTTGGCCCTCATTTACAGATGGAGCTGGCAACATAGTTTCTAATGTTTGATAGCTGTTTTTAATTACTTTTCCGATTATAGTAATTAACGGGTTTTCTCTGGGTAATTACACTAATTTGGGCATATTATTTTTTGGAAGTGAATATGTATATTGAATCTTAATGTTTTCTGGTGTAAATGCCCCTCAGAGCCCTGAGCAGAATGTGTACAGCACCACATGTTGACTCTTAACCACTAACACCTGAAGCTCTGGAATTCCTCCTGCTTCCCGAATTTGGATGGTCCCAGCTCCACTTCAGATGATGTCGTCAAGCACACATCATTTTCTTGGCTTCACTGCAACTCCAATTCTAGTAAGCAACTAGCTGACATCATCCCTCGTAACACAAACGTTTGGGCAAGACGCCGAAGGCTGGATTGTTCTTAAAGTGTAGAACTATAGTAGTAACAAGTCTTTCAAATCAACTGTTTTATCAGATTACTTTTAAAATTGAGATTTGAAGGCAACAACGATTGATGAAGTTTTGCTCCTGTTCTCAGCATTTCAGACTAACAAACTGAGAAGTTTGTGGTGGTATTTTTCCCGCCTCAGGTTCTCTGCAGACAGTTTATGAAGCCATGAGGCACACAAAAGGAAGCCGTCTGTTGGACTTAAAGAGAAAGTCGAAACAAGTCCAAGAACAAAAACACAGTGGTTCAAGGCTTATGTGTTTTGCAGACGTTCACAAGCCCAAGGACTAGCTGGGATCATTATAACACACTCCTCTGTCACTGTCACCCTGCTCTCGTTAACCTCTGCCAGGGTCACACATATACTGTACGCACACATCCACATGCACACACATCCAATTTGCATTCTTATTGCTACATCTATTGCATGCTCACAAACACCATCAGTCACATTCCTCTAAATTGAAAATTCACAGATACACACATGCATCACATTTACATCTATTAGAGAACACAGTTACATTTAAATTACACATGTGCAAAGCCCACGAATGGCGCACACTCAAAACCCACACAAACAGTCTGAATTTACTTTACTGATGATAAACAATCAAGCCAGAATAGGATGTGTGCACATCACACACACAGGTACACAGCAACTCCTGAATGATGTAAATGCATTCACACATTGTGAGTGATACAAACAAACACACACACACACACACACACACACACACCTTCAGCCCATTTACATTCGGATAAAAAACAAACTGTGGCACAAACAAGCTCATCAGAGGCATCGGCGGCTTGTTAGCGCAGCACGCTAATATGCAGAATAGCTCGGCTCACCCATTTTAGCATCCCACTGACACAAACACAAACAAACACAGGCATTCCTCTGGGGGGAGGGAGGGGGGACTGTGTGACGGGGGACAGTGGGATGGATGAAAAGAGCAATGAGGAGTGAGACAGATGGAGCTCCCACTTCTGGTTGACTTCCTCTACATCAACGCAGGAAGAGTGCCTGACAAACCCGGGACCACGGCTAACGCGCCCCAACTCGCTTACTGAGGTTTCTTCAACTGCCAACCATCTGTTACCATGGCAAACTATGTGTAAGAGCCATGCCACCATTGTATCACAGCGCTGTCAAGATACCACTGTACTGTGAAACTCTGAAAAATCACCATCTGTCAGTCCAGCCAAGTCCTCCTCTCCGAGCACCTGCGATTTCCTGCAGGGTTATTTTTAAAAAGAACTATTTTTCAATCAGGAAATCACTCGGCTGAGGCGGACGTTCACAAAAATCATCTGCACTCCTGTCACGGGCCCGCCGGATGAGGCGTGCGAGGGTTTGTGGTGGCGAGTTTGTCCGTTGTCATGGTTACTGCGTGACTGACAGCCGGGTGAGAGGCGAAAAGATGGAGGCAGAGGTCTGCACGTGATGTGGCGAACAACAAAGGTTAAAGTGGCCATGGTGACACATACTGTAGATTGGGACTCACGTGCACACACGTGCACAGACATTCTTAAAAAAGTGAGTCCAGCACGTGAATGGGACCGTGATGTTAAAGAAGGATCCAGGTTCCATTAAAAAATGCTGAAACACAGCCAGCGATAAAAGACTAATTCCCTAATAATTAAAGCTTTTTTGTAATCCCCTAAACTTGACGCTAAGGAACTGGACAAAACCAAACTCGTGAAAATGTTGCTACATGTAAAGCACTGTGGAAATAAGTAAGAAATGCTTTACAAAGTTTTAACCCTTGTTGTTCTTTAAACAAAACAAAAAAACAAGCAACGGCCAAAACATGTGAAGACAGAGATTCATCCTGTATTGAGACTATTCTATAAACAATAGGTGGTCCAGACACTCCTGAGTGGGTTTAATCCAGTCAGAGTGTCAAACAAAGACTAGACTGCTAATCCCGGTCTCCATCCCTGTATCCAGCGATGGGATGAGCTATCCACTGCCTCAAACCTTCACACACACACACACACACTTACCTGTAGTTAACCTGGCTCATTTTGCCTGGGGGGGTGCTTGTTTGTAGTCTGTCCAAGGCTCCCCTCAGAACATCGTTGATCTCCTTTAAAAAAAGAAAGAAAGAAGGACACACAAACAGATCAGCTCAGACAACTCGCTCATAAAAGCTACACTGTCTTTGAGTTTCCGGCATTTACACACGCTCACTCTGAACAAGAAGAAGCTCTCAGCTAATACGAAGAGGCCCGTCGGCAATTAACGAAATCAGCTCCCGCCGCCATCAATCATATTCGCAGATACTGATGAGAGAATGACCGCTGGACAGCCAGATCCTGCAACGCGCCGCTGTCCCTCTCCACTGTTTGTATTGTACATCCATCTATCCATCTATCTCTGCTCACCCCTCCCTCCCTCCCTCCATCTATCCATCCCTGCCCCGTGTCAGGCAGGACTATTTTTAAGTCAGCAAAATCAACAACCCCAGGGCAAACGAATTAAACGGAAGATGGAGAGAGAAATGTGGGGAAGACAGCGATGGCGTCAAACTGTTACGAGGGTCTCAAACACAGCCGAGGGGTGGGACAAGAAACTGTCCCAAATCACAAAAGACAAGTAGGGGAGCAATTAGGTCCTTCTGCCTTGTCACTTTCATTGTGTCACCAGTCCTAATGGCTAACAAGCTCCCGCCCACCAGCCGACTCCTTAGCAACCCCCCACCACGCCCAAACCCTCAGCGAACCCACTCTGCCAAACAATAGGAGGATAGTTTATAACTCACATACACCCACAAACACAGGTGTCCAGTTACTGTAAAATGTTACTGCCACACACAGTCTTTATAGAGCTGCAAATAAAACTATACGTAGAAATAGAAATCCACAAGCACACAAGCATATGCTGCCCACACTAGTAGTGACCCACTTATCCGGGCAGTGTGAGATTACCCAACAACAGAGTGTGTGTGGAGGGGCAGAGAGACGAACTGGAGGCTCTATTGTTGCTGTGCATCATCCAGCTACGCCATTAGGAAAAGCACATGAAAGTGACTTCTCCCCCTGCAGCTCAGACACAACTGCACATCACAGAGAGAAGGCGGTCAGAGCACAAGGCTGGCCGCAGTGGAGCTGGACGCATGTCCCAGAACACACAGATGAGCACGTGATGGACCGGACACTCCACGTTACATAGGACATGTGACATGTGCTGATGCAGGCTCACTGAAAACACACAAACCTGACAGAAATGGATGCTACAACATCCAGTTTCTTCACCTTAATGCTCAGTGTAAACATAAACAGCAGCCTCCCTCCTCATAATCCCTGCTGGGCTCAGCCAATCAGCTCACCTCTTTTAAAACGAGCACCCAAAAACAATGAAGCACTGTTGTATAGTCTGAACCACTGAAAGTTCCATGTATCTATCCACAGAAAGATGTAAAAGGGAAGCTTAGACCAAGCGTATGGACCAGAGCTCAGTGTTATTCAGTCCACAGATGCCTGGTAGAGGACGAAGAACTGAAGCTGCACTCTGATCTGACAGCTTCTTTAATAGTTAGTTTGCTGACAAGTCCTCCAAAGGAATGCTGTGTGAACGGGCCAAATGTCTTGGTTGGATCTGAGAGTGCTTTTTGTTGTGGTGTTTGTCAAAAGAGGTGGAAACAGTCCTGGGAGGTCCTGTGGTGCATGGATCGAAGCCCTGAATCCAGCAGCCGTTATGGGCAATAAAGTTCCTACATTTTCAAACACATCTAAAAATCAAATACTTTTGGTTGAGTTGTTGCCGTGTTCCTCTTGCTATTTTAACCACATTAGAGTTATTTCTCGTCTTATTTGCTCCAGATGACAGAGTTTAGCTCTTCAAATGATCCAAACAGAGTGAAGAAAACAGGCCGTTTGAATCTAAACAGTAAAAACAGAAAAGTGTGAACATACCACAAAGATTGTTTCATTATTGTAATGATTAGGCTCCACATTTAGTGTTCAGTTCTGCATAAGAACCTCACACATTTAACAAGAACTAAGTGAATTCATTATGACTGTATTTAATCACTCATTACAACGTTTATTCTGTGCAACTCATTTTGCCACAAATCATGTTACATTTGTTCAAAAATAAATTCTGAATACGACGTGCTTATTCTGCTAGTTTGGATATTTGCCAGAAAGACTGAGTTTGATTCTAAATCAGTGCTAAAAGCATAACAATGATTTTGGAACATTTTTTACTGCCGCTTTTTCAGCACTTTTAGTTAAACCCTGACTCCCGAAAAGCAAGGAAAGCCAAACTTCAAATGCACTGGATAAAATGTAAGTTTTACAGCAGGAATTACTTTGTGGGATCCAAGGAATTTGAATAGGTCAGAATTTCTGGCAGGCACGTGAATGCTTGCATGATTTGTATAAAGCTTCCTTCAAACGTGACTGAGGACAAACAGTTGTCACCAGATTTACACCACTGCTGATCAGTCAGAAGCAGCTCTCCATGTTTTTGTGCGTTGGGGGCTGTTTGTTGTCAGAGGCACATGTGACATGGAGGTGTGCAGACATGTGAGATGAGATGTTTGCGACTAGGCAAGTGTGTCAAATTTGTTGTCAGACAGGTGAGTAATGAGCTGTGCGCTTCTTTGTGTGCTTCCTCTGCAACACAGTCATTTGCAACATGCCTGTCATTTAAGAAATAATGTGCATCTGTTAATGCACAGAAGAATATATACATGTATAAATAAATATATAAAACACACACACATATGACATTTATGTTTCTGACATATCAGGTATGTTGGGCTTCCAAAACACGCAGCAATCTTCTAGTGACAAACATGCATACATAATTGAGTTGCTAGCTGAAAACACTTAAGAATTCAGTTTTGTTGGACAGGAAAAAAACACAAATGGACACAGAGCAACACAACAAGGTGTTATGACCCCCCCAAAAAAACCAACTGCAATGTGGGAGGAAAATAGAAGAGCCAGAGTGGGAGAGGTGGGAAGAGCAAGAGTGAAGCATTCGGCAGCTCCTTCTGAATGCTGGTAAGGTTAAAAGCTCCCTAAATGGCTTTGGCTGTGGCAGCAACTACAAGTCAATCAAAGGACCAGTTGTGTGTTTAGAACGCTTCAGCCTTTTGCCAGTTTCATTAGCTCCTCTGCAAGGGTGCCTATATGCTCAGAGAAGAGGGCCAACCTTGGCCTCCACCACGGCAGGCAGTCGAATCAATTAAAGGGGCAGGACGCATATTCATCATTGTAGCCTGAAGTACACTTTATCTAGCCTTCAATACCTCCTTCAAGATGAAATAGATAAGTGTATGTAATTTGTAAGTGTGTGTTTATTTGAGTGGGTGTGTGGAGCTGGAGGAGCCGGGGCTGCTGAAGACTGGCACAGTGGAGGAGCGAGGATGAAGTGATAGTGTATCGATCCAGGGAGTCCATCAGGCCCACGACTCAATAAGCCCATGAGCTGTGACGGCCTTCAAGCCTTTCAAGCACACGCGCGCTCGCAATCGCACACAAACCAACACCCTTTCTTCTCAAATGTGCGTCAAGCCGTCTGGATCCCAAACTTTGATCGCACTGTCCAGATACAGATCACTGTTGCTAAGGACGGAAAACTGCTTATGGATTGATTGTTGATTCATTCATTTATTTTCTTTAATCTCATGAAAGATTAAAAAGGGAACCGGCTGGAGTTCAGGTTTATGGTTTCCCTCAGAAGTGGAAAAAAAATCCTTGAGTTTTCGCAGTGTTAAGTGTTAATCCATAAATGGAATAGAAAGATGCAATACCTCCACAAAGGCAGAGCAGAAACGGCAACTTAAGACCAAAATCCTGAGGTGACAAGTCAAACGTGACCCAGCATTAAGCATTAAGCGATGGACACTCTCCTGCATGTTGTCATGCCTGAAGTTAGTGTTGTTGTGCCATGGCATCAACACTTGCAAACTGGGAAATTAGAGATTTTCTAATCATGTTTGTGTTAACTTAACATGAAGTACAGAGAACCATTTTTTTTTATACCAGCAGGGCTAATAACAGCATTCGTTTCCATCCTGATTTTTTAAATGGCTGAAAAAAAATGCGTCTGGCTGTTTTTCATTAACGAGTTTGGAGTAACAAGGAGGCATTGCATCATTAGTATCGTTACACGGGCTGTAACAAACAGTGAGTTCTCCGCTAAACCAAACCAAAACTTCATGGAAGAGAAACACACAAAAGTAGTTGCCTTGGCCATTGACGAAAGCAAAATGGAGAGAGAGACCTTCAGGGCGAGTGCTGCTGTTACTCATGCCTGCAAGTATTGGCCATGTTTATTCAGGGTTATGTGGTCGGTCATGTGAGTAACCTGACTGCCACTTCAGAACTGATTCACATCAGGCTTTTCTATTCCCTTTCATTTGAATAAACTCTTCTAGAAAACCCGGAAAAACCACTCAAAATAAGCAGAGAAAAACTTAAAAAGGAAAACCTCCACATGTCTAAGAGTCATTCCCAGGTAACTGCTCTCATGAGTTAAGGTTTTGAATTTCTTAAAAATGAACGGACACTACTGACATATTTCATCAGGGTTTAACAAGGCTTCAGTGGCCCAAACTTTCTGTTCATGTATGAGGCAGAGCTTTAGATTTTCTACCCAGCTGTAGGGATATTTCAAATCTTCTACAATGAGCTTGCTCACCCCGGTCCGGTTGCACTGTTTGAAGTACATGAAGTCCCAGTGTTTTTTGGACAGGCAATATGGACTCTGTCTTTGTGTTTACTTGCCGCCCGCTGATGCCCGTGTTCTGCTTAGTCACTGCTGCGCTGAGCACAGCGGGGGCAAACAACAGGACTCCCTCTCCCCCCTCCCTCCCTCTACCTGAGCTCCTCTCACACACTTCCAAAGTGTGACCTCATACCGCCTCCATCCTGCCCGTCACACATGTACAGTCACCCACAGAGGGACAAGAAAAGGCAGCAAACAAAAGCCGCCTTAATGCCGGGCTGCTCCCAGCGCTTGAAAAGCCGACCCTTTCAACGCACAGCCCGGAGCGCCAGAGCTGGACCACAAGAGGAACACTCACCGGGCCCCTTGTTGTGTTCTGTAGGACTGGGACACAAAGATGAAACTGGAAATGCAATTTGTCCACCTCTCTTATCCATTTGTTCCCTTTTTCCACCCCCTGAGCAGCTATTTGAAACGAAGCCGTTCAGTCACAGCAAAGTAAACATTTTGTGGAGAATTTGCAGAGCATTTTTTATATTTGCGTTTGTTTTGGGGTTTTTATGCCACGGTGATACTCACTGGTTCAGGAGTCCCATTATTTTGGTCAACAGGTGGAGGTGGGGGTGTCGTCTCCTGGGGAGGGGCCAGTGCAGAGTCACTGCTGCTCCTGACCAACAGCGGTGTATCTGAGGTGAAAAAGACTAGTGTTAGAGGGGGGGCATGCATGTTTACTGATTTATGTACTGTTACTTCTACATTCATTACAGAGGAATATGTTCGGTTCGAGTCAAAAGGAAAAACGGGAAGCACTGGAGACAGAGGAGCAGAGGCACTAAAAGGCAGTGGAAACATTTTTGCCTTTCGTCTTTTGCCAACTCTCAGACAAAGTAATTGGCCTGCATGTTTTTTTTAAATGAGCATCAGGAAAGGAGGGTAAGACAGACCCTGAGGCGCTGTGTGTGTGTGCCGGAAGAAAAACACAAACACAACGAAAATAAGCAAAAAGACAGAAAAATCTGTGGATCTTTTGGTTAAAAAAAATGCTAAGAAAGAAAGAAAAGGCACCGACAAGGGACAGACACAGAAAACTGTGAGGTATTTGATAAAAAAAAAAACATCCATGCGGTTGGGTTAAAGTCAACACAGCAGCGTCTTTTCCACCATTTATTTAAAGATGACTCCACCCCATTATTTCAGCTACACACCCAACCACACAACTTCCCACAGTGTAAACCAACACAAGACCAGCTGCTCCCTCCACGCCCCAAAAAGTACACATGCACATGTGCCCCCCCACCAGCCTTCCCCACATCCAAGAGGCCAAGAGCAGCCAACATGGGCAGGTTCGGATCCACAACAAAACAATTCTAAATAATCTAATTTGGACCTTTGCTCTTTGATTCTAATACACACCCTAGAGGGGAAAGGTGGGGTGTTTCTAAATTCAAGATCTCAGCGGAGAGAATAAAGAGGGGGAAGAGAAAAGTGTGGGATAAGCAAAAGACTATAAAAAGACAAAAAAGAAGAAGACAGGCAAGAGAGAGTGGGATTGGAGGGTAAAACACAGAAAATTGAGACAGAGAGAGAAAGCAAAAAAATTCTCCTCTTTTCCTGTAATCAATCTCTCTTTGGAGGGTCAGCGACAGGGTCCTGGTCAAACGTGGTCAGAATAAAGAGAGCAGAGGGAGAAAACAAGTGGGCGAGGAGGAACTGGCAGAGGTCACTGTGTGTGTGTGTGTGTGTGTGTGTGTGTGTATTTGGTGATTAAAGACAGATGAAAAATGATCATTCCAATCCTTCCTGACACACATACAAATATCTTTTCTTCCTCAAACAAAGCAAACTCCATGTTCAGTCTATTCCGTTTTGGCTTCGGGTTGGTCTGAGCACTTTCACCGTCATCATAAACTGTCAGGCATTCTCAGGTCTCCCCTTACTGTGCCAGTCCTACCTAACCACAAGCCCAATTGTTCCCCCTCTTCTTTGAGGCAGTATGACGCAGACTCTTTGCTTATCATTTGCAATAAAAAAAAAGCTTCAAAATATAGTTTTCCTTTAATTAAGGCAGAGTTTTAGTACACCGGCTTCTTGTTTCTGACTATCTTGAAGAGAAGAAAATAAATAAAAACAAAATGTGACCTAATTTGATTTTAAAAGGTATTATTTGTGCAGGAATCTTTGACAGAAGCTCCGAAGAAAATTGCCTGATTTGCAGTAATGACATGGACTTTGATTTAACACAGAAACATCCGGAACAAATCGCAGCTCTCGGAGCTTGCATCAAAAGGCTTCAGAGAAATCAAATATCTGAGGTTCATCTTTATTTTTCTGATTTACCATCTGATAAATCTGGTGTGCATCTAAACTAGGTCAAGCCATCCGCAGGAACTTGTCATCATTATTAAAAAAGATCCTGGCAGAAGTTTCTTGCTGAGTGAACAAAGTGAAATTCACAAGCAATACAACTATATGAAAAAACTAATGTGTGATAGAAGCTGATGCTGCCTCAGATAGGAATCTGTCAGAGGTGAAAAGATGTCTGAGCAGGATTAACAAAATAAATCTGCAAATGCAGCAAACAGAACGAGTGCATGGGATGTTATTGTGTCTCAGGATGCTTTCAAGCATAAAAGTCTGAACTATTGTTGAGATTTTTGTTAAAACATTTAAATGTGATCTAGCTGAGATTTTATTTCCCCGTGAAATCATGAACATATACACTGGGTGTTACTCCCAGTGGCTTCAACTATATAATTAGGGGGGGGTGTAGTTATTTTTGAAATTCTTTGATTTTGTTTTAATCAGGAGTCTCTTTGCTCTTCATTCCCAGGAGTGTTCATGTTGTGGTTCCAAAGAGGCTTTATTCAGATGATCAAAACAATGTGAAGAAAATGTATTAATTAATTTGGGTTTAAAAATTGGCGTTTTGCTCCTGATCAGCTTGAAAGGACAAACTTCTCACCGAGGTGGGCAAATTATTCAAGTTCTAGTTCACGAACCTAAACCTTTTGGGCTCTCCCTCCTGCATATACCGGTCTGGGGGAATCATGTGGAGCTAAACTCAGAAAGAAACGTGCCAAAGAACACACACACGTAATCCAAGTGAGGGAAAAGCCACAATTCTTACACAGAAAATTAATCACACTTTCCAGGATAAAGCTCAAACTTATTCCTCCACTATCGTTTGACTGTAAATCACTAAATTAAACTGTAAGGCCATTGAGTACATCAAGTTTCAAAATGCCTCAACAGCTCCAAAAACAACTGGCCGCGCAGCATCTTTAACGGCTCCATCTAGTTGATGTTCCAGATACAGAATGATGTACATATTTCCGAAGTGGCTGCAATGAATTTTCTAAATGAGCTCAACAAATAGTCTCCATTATTAGGAAACCTCAGTTGGGACCCACCCACGCACACAAACGCTCCTCGTCACAATGGCAATGATACGACTTTGTGAAGTGAGGGCTGCTCCACGGTCACAGTCAGGGTCCATTACCCAGCGGTCAGCCCCATAAATCCTCCTCCGTTTATCCACGCGGTCAGATCCGCCTCCATTAATCCTCCCAGCACTTAAATAGTTCTCAGAGCTCAGCCCAGCCGTGTGAAGGAACCTGAGAGTCACTGGCGTTGACCTCTGACCTGTGCTGACCCTGGGCGGGTCAAGCAGGACCACAGAGAGCCCGGTATATTGATTAGAGACATGTGACTCTCTCAGGTCAGCCACCATTTGGATGACCATCAGCAAGATTAGCTCACTGGAATTCTCCATCAACACGGAAAAAACTTGAAAGAGAAAGAGAGGCTCGGTGTTGCACAATAAGAGCAGGCAGCAGCACCAGCGCAAACAAGTCCAAGTCTCCATGCCAAGTTTCCACATAAACCAAAACAGGAGAATCTGGAGCTCGTGACCCGAGGCCTGCTCTGCAGAGAAATGAGGTCTTCTCAAAACATTCGATTTCACAAAGCAGTTCCAGGTCATCCCAGCATGGAGGAGTAGAACAACCAATAACGATGTTGATAAGTGAAATGTGGGACATCTTCAAAAGCAAATGACTGCAATTTGTGGTAAATAATCAATGTCACAGTGTTGCTGAGTCTTATATGGAGGCTTCAGTGACATCTACAGACAAAACTTCAGATTATAAATAACCATCTCCTTTTCCAAACATTCCTTTTAAACCATTGTTTTTATAGGAGAGAATCCTGTAATCCTCCAGCACATCATCCACTTTCAATTAAAGCTTCCTCTTTAAGTTCTGAGAAGACTCGGAGGCTCCGCAATGAAATTCAAGTTTGCCAGTTTGACAGAACTGTGTGCACCCATGAGACAAATTATGAGAAATCTGGTTGTGTTTTTCTGCCTCTGACTTTCCATCTGCAGATCTGTGCTCAACTCAGCTGCTTATGCAACTCTGGAAACAGTGGTTTATGTTTTCCGGTTAGTGAAAATTGTACAATACTGCAGCATCAGTTCACTCCCAGAGCGGGTATTGCGTTTCTGATGCAGCTTTGTGCGTTCTGTGTGTGTGACTCAGTGTGCACACACACTAATCAGTTCGCATTGCTTTGTTTACACCAGAGTTTGTAAAACATGCATGACATGCATTTCTTCCAAGACAGTGTTTTCCTGGATCGTGCATTTCTATTTACGGGTGTGTGTGTGTGCGTGTGTGTTTTCATGCCACAGGCCGAGGTGGGCTTGTTTTTCTGCCAATCGATTGAGGGGCCCAGCTCGGGCAGCTCATGGGATGATGCGATAAGGACTCTCTTTCTAGAAGTGTGCTGGTGTGTGTGTGTGAGTGTTGCAGCAGATCAATGCAGGTCTAATCATCCCACTGGGGCGAGTGTGAAGTCCAATCACCCCATTCAAACAACTGGTCTAACCTGACACACAAACACTTTGATGCTTGGCTGATTACTGAGTTACTTCTTTTCCTTTCCACCACCTCCCAGAGCAATTACATGCACTCTGTGACCAAATTATTCTGAATAACACAATAACAGTAATAGTGTAATAAAGCATTCACTTGGTTTAAAGGGACCTACATTTAATCTAAATTCTAATTTACATTTTCTGATCAATGGCTGAAGGTCTGAGTAGAATTGAGTAGGAGCATGGTCACATAAAATCCCACAGCTGCTCCTCTCTCCAAAGGACTTTTAGCAAAGTTGGAAACTATGACAAAGAGGCCAGATAGGGAGAGCATCCCCCTTTTTCAACTTATATTTCTTTACTCTTTTGTAAATCTACCCTTCCAAATGAGGGTAAGGATCTAAAACTGTAAAGGAAACAAAAAGAAAACGATGAAGTATGTCAAACTACGAAAGTGGACTTCAAATGAGCAATCCCATGGCTGAATAAAAAAATTAAAAAAATATTTCTGGTCTAATTTTCATGTCTTTTGCACGTAAAGATAACTTTAATGGCAAAACTCTTAGCAAATGTAAACCTGCAGCCCTGTGAATGAAGGCCTGTCTGTATTTACTTTGTTTCTGAATCCAGGGTGGCGTGTTACTGCATCTGAGCCCGAAAAAAAATGGACTTGTTATCTAAAAAAGATGAACAAACAGGCACGCCACAGACTCGCCTCACTTCGTGGATGACAGGTTGGGGGGCATGAATGGTGATTTAACTGGATTGTTGTTTCTTTTGTCATCGTGTCTGAATGACAGAAGCTGCCTTTTCCGCATCAGTCTGAGACTATATGAGGGGCGTCACAGTGTCACATCATAACTAAGTTAGTCAAGGTTCAGCAGGGCTGGAGAGCAGGCTGGGGGGGGTGGAAGCAGGAAGAGGTCCCACTGGGTTAAAGATGGGGTGAAACAGGGATGTGTGAGTGGATGGTGGGGGGTTGGAATTAGTCCATTCATGCTTGGCTGGACCACGGGCATGCTAACAGGCTACAGTGCTAATCTAGTTAGAAGTGAAAGCCACACAGACACGGAAAGCGGAGTGGGGTGTTAAGTGGGGGGACAGAGGGTTTCCAGGGAGTTGTTGGGGTGGAGGTCTACAGCTGTGGGGATGGAGCTGGACGGCAGGTGGCTGAAGCTGAATAGCAGAGTAGGCAAGCAGTGACTGGATGGAGAGCAGGCAGATGAAGGGACATGGGGTGAAAGTGGGCACAGGGAGAGGGATGGTAAAGGGCAGCTGTATGTGTGTGTGTGGGGGGGGGGGCAGGGGGGGCGTCACACTGCTCCTCCACGGTCAACAGATGGAGAGAGGAGAATGAAAGGGGCCGAGGGGTGACTCAGTGATCAGACAGCTCCTTATTAAATCCCATCCAGCCTCATTTCATCTTTTATCTCACTCTTTATCTTTCATTTGGGCTTTTTCACTATTGAAATACTAATCAATTCAAGGCACATGAAAGAGAAGAGGAGAAAAATACTGCATTACATTACTTGCAGTAAATGCACCTTCAGCCAGAACAGACTGCAGTCCAGACAGAGCACATATTTCCCCATGGGCTCCCCGAGGCTTCTGACTCAACATCCAGCTCTGACACTCTCCTCTGCACAAGCTCTGTGACCCTGGAACTTATTTACTTCATTCTCCCAAGGATGGAAAGCTAAATGCACTGCACATTTCCCAACTTTTTATGTCAAGCACACTTCACACACACTCATCTGTCATACTTGCCACTCTAAAGTGATGAGTATGTACCTAATATATCTGACTGAGCAGAATAATGCAGTGTAGAATAGTCACTGAACTATGGAGCTATTACTTATTTTGTAGTTTTTCCCTTAAGAGCAGGACACAAAAAGAAAAAAAGAAAAATCAACCCACTCCTCCAAGTGTTCTCAACTTCCCTGATGTTACATACAGCAGACCTGAAGAGGATAGAAGCAACAGCTATATTTAAATAAGGTTAAAAAGAGAGAAAGCTAGAGTACAGCAAATATTTGGTTTGTTTTGAGATTTTCCTTACACCAGGTTTAATGATCAGTATTTCTCTCTGCTGTGTTAAAACTAGTCCAAACAAAGGATTTCTCATCAGCACGACAACTTTTAAACCACAAGAAATATTGTTAATCTGCAGCGGCTGACTTCTGAGACAGTTCTGTGGCTTTTGACTCATCCTGTATGACGAGTATACATTTACATCTCTTTAAATGGTCTTGATACATGTTTACAGTGCTAATGCAGGAATATGCACTACATAAGTGTTGGAGGGGCTTCAGAAGAGCAGATCGTTTTCATTTGGAGAAGCGTCTCAGTAGCGATTGGCAAATGCTTCATGTGCTGACTCTGTGACAACTTTGAATATTTCAGGTAAAACAGGGCAGTGTTTCCAAGAGCAGCTTTAAGCAGTAAAAATAAATCAACCAGAGAGGAAATGGCAAGAAAACGGAGATCAACAATTTGACACACTGTGTGCACAAAAGACTGGATGCGAGTTCAAAAGTGTTGGAGGATCTTTTCCATGTTGATAACAAAACTCCTCACAGCATCCTGCCAAGTAAAGAACTCGCTCCATAAAGTATACGACACAGAAAAAAAAAAAGCCCAGATGAGGTTCAGCCAAAATATATCTTAAAAGGACAGTGCAGTTCTTGAACAGCATTCTTTTGAAAGCTGAATCTAGTTCTAGCATCTGCCAGAAGATAGAAGTATGGATCGTCATCCAGTGCCAGTTTGGAAAGAAGGCTCAAGGTTTGCTTGGCTTCCACTGACAAATGATCACTACTGCACAAACAGCTGTAGACAGGCCCTGCAAAATGTCTGCCAAAGCAGGGAAATCTACTTTACATTATGTGCATAAATTAAAGAACAAAAAACCAGAACATACATCTGATCTTATGCATTTGTGGGTGTAGGCGAGAACCCGCCACAGAGCACATGTAAGCAACGGGCTGGCGTGGTAGAGTTGTCAAATGAAGGCAGCGTGATGAGCTTTGCATTATTTAGCAAGACATTTAGTATTATTTACAGCTTCAGAGGCTTTTCAAATACTTCAACCTTTAAATGTCTCCACCGAGAAAAAAAGAAGACACAGCAACATGTTATTCTCTCTTTTGTTTTTTTCATGTTGAACAAAGAGGGAAAGAGATTAACATTAAAAATGTGGAGGTCTGTCCTAGTGGTCATTGTTCCCAGTTACACCAACTTGTTCTCTTCAGACAGTATGTTCGCTCACATCTGTTCCATAAATGTCCTCTGACTCATACACCTACACAAACACAGCACTGATGCACCATTATTATCTCACATGTTCAAAGATAATGTGTTGTGGAATTCCTTTATGACCCCCCCCCCACAGCCCCATCTCATTTCCTTTGCAGAAGTGCTTGTGATTTGACGTACTGCCTTTTAGGATGGCCTCGTTGACTTCGATCTCTCCACTGGCCAGATCCTCGTACTCCATGTGGGGATAGTAGTGCATGGCTTCTGGACTTGGGGAGGGGCTGGAGAAGCCGTTGGACATGACATCTCTGGGACTGTCCATCTCCACACGCTGGTCCTCGTGCAGCACGGCCATAAGCTGGAAGAGAGGGACAAAGTCAAGACTACGCTCTGAAAGTTTGAGGCCTAAACACGAGGTCCGCATGATCTAAAACAAATATGTTGTGTTATTTGGGAAGACACGGTTGGGTCATATGGCGTCGCCTGTGACTGCAGTTGGCTTTTGTCATTGAACTCAAACGCCACCTGCTTGAACCTGCTTCCCTCTGCAAAGCGTGCAGATGTGACAGGGTGTGAGTGTGTGTGAGGAAAGCCCACAAAGCACACCTCTCAAACCTCGAACAGTGCACACCAGACCCAGCAGATGCCCCTTGAGGAACCCATTTTCCTTGAGAACAAAGGAGAAAATGTGAGCAGTGATCCTGCTGACGACCGGTTCAGGGGAATTAACGCACGTCGAGATGTGCGTGCATGAAATTAACAGTCAAATGAGATCTGACAAGAGAATGAGAAGCTGTCAAACACAATGACACGGCTGCCACAATGAGACGCTGGGAAGGGATGGGGCGGCCAAATGAACAGGGGATGGAGGGCAGGAGGATGACAAACAGTTGTAATTGAGACGGGGACACGGCGGCGGGCTGAGGGGAAGGGAAGCAGGAGTGTGTCGGTGTGTGTGGACTGCGGGCCACGCCACTGCGGCTACGAGGGTTGATAAATGGGCGCGTGGCGGCGTGACGTTCTCATTAGACGATGCCGGCGACGGAAATGACCACTTAATGAAAAGCAATAACCGCAGTGGAAGGAGGGATGGAAATAAAACAACAGACGAGTCCAGATCGTCAATTAACAATGACGAAACAAGTTAACTACACGAGAGCGTTTGTGTGAGAGTTAACAACAAGCACTGCGGGGGGATGTGCACCATCCATCACGGCCGTGACACAAACTCCCAGCTAAACTTTTCATGATTCAATATCCTCATGACACGTGGCCAATGTCAGGAAGGGGAGATCCATCAACTGTATTCATGTGGATATATGCATGAGCATCAGAGGATGCGCGAGAGAAAGGATGAGCAGCTGAAGGGCTGGCAGATGAAAAGAAGAGAGAAAAGAAAAGCCAGAACGCCAGCAAACCAATCTGATTGCGGCAGCTGATGGATGCTTCGCGCCCTCTTTCTCTCCTCTTTATCTGCTTTCCTCTTTCTCTCCTTATCTCTTTCCTTCCCGAGCCTCCGTCTCCTTCTCCAAACTCGCTGACAGCATCAATCAAAGAAGTAGTCTCGGAGCATAATGTGATGTGCGTGCACATGCCGAGCGCGCACAGAGACACAACAATGAGCTACCCTCAAAAACAATTTAGTTCTTCAGAACAACTTATTTTAAATGTGAGGAGGGGAGATGATGATTTGCTTTTCCGGAGTTCATTTTCTCCGGCTGGCGCAGACAGGGAGAGATGCTGATGAGGGCCGTCCTGCTGCTTCCACTCATCACTCAATCAAACAGAAAGTATTAACTAAATTAATCAGAGCCTCGACCCAATATTGAAATTTGGGGGAGCGGACCATTTGAGGTTTCATATTGGAGCCGTGTTGAAAGCCATCAGTGAGTCATAACGCACAGTTTACTCCCAGCAGCCAACAGCGGCTCTGGCAACAGGAGCTGGACCTCTGAGGTGGACGTGATGGCACCACACACACCACACACACACCACAGACACCACTCACAGCACACACACCACTTCCTTACGGTGGTGATGTCACTGCAAAGAGATTCACCAAGAAAAAAGAGAAGTGGTAAAATTGTTGCTCCTAGAGGCTTGCTATTGATGAAATAACCATCTATTCAGTAAGCAATTTAGTACATTTTATCATTATAGATATTTCTTTAGCTAAAACAGCTTCTTATAGTAAGAGTGAGGGGTGTCATTTTGAACAGAATTCCAAAGACCTCAGAGATATAAATTCATAACTCAGGCTCCACCCACTTGTCTAGATAAGGTCACTTCCGTCTTAAAACAGTGAAAACAGTCAAATGTTTCCAGTAAAGATATTAGAAAATATTCTGTTTTGATACATTTTAATGTCAAACTTTCTCTGGACACTTTTTGGGTTCCATTCACTGCAGTTTAGAGATAAAGCTCTATAAGCCAAGTAAGACAACAACAACAGAATTTGTTTGAGCTACGAAAAATTACTATTTGTATCCCTCCAGACATCGTTCAACTCCTCGGCCGGCCTATTCATGCAAAACAGATGACATTCATTGAGCAAAACCACTGTGGGTAAAGCTTCACTTTCAAAGCACACAGCGGCTTGAAACTCAGACCTTTTAAATACAGCTTGAACATGTCCTCTAATGTCCCCCCTGCATGAGGAAAAACACCTTGCTTGGTTCACCGTTTGTTTACTTAACACACATATTTCTTAGTCTTTCCTGACTGTGATTAATATTCAAGGAAACAAATTGCCTTATTTTCCCTGCTGCGTCCATGGGGGGGTTATTGATATGGACCTGGGGAAGCTGCATGTCTACCGCCGCAGAATAATGTGACCTCTTTGTCTCATTTCCATAAACACACTCACAAACAAACTGATATCGAATTGCAAATACAAAAAGCTAAATCCTTCCTTTATGCTGTCATGTTATGATCTTGCAGCCATGACACGGCGTGCATTTCCAATGGGAGCACGCTCGCTTCCAGGACCGAGTGTTGCACAGCCAAAGCCATTACCGTGACATACATGAAAGCCACGTTCAATCCCATGCGTGAAGCATGGGCAGCGATAAACATTCTGCCTGTGTATTCGGCTCCATATACAGTGCCTCAGGGTAAATAATTATGGGATTTTAAAATATATTTAGACCTCACTAACAAAGCCCATTAATTCTCAGATTTATGAAATACATGACCATGTCTTCGAGGGTTCCCGAGCACCTCTGATGTGTGAGTTTATTCTGTCTTTATTTTTTCTGTTGATAATGTAAAAGCTGTTTTTTCTCAGAGACGATCTAAATAACTTGGAAGATAACTGCATTTAAATACAACAAACCCACAGAGAAAAGGAAAACTGGGAGAGAAATGACTAGCTAGTATCCTGCGACCACACACACCCAATTAGGCTGTCATGGGACTTGTAAGAGGAGATTTTTCATCGAACTACCAAGTGAACTTTGACGCTCTGTGATCATATCTTCAGCAGTCGCAGGGATTTCTCTGTACTGATGTGCCTTTTGAAAATCAGAAATTATAGAAAACTACCCCACCAAATAAGTAGCTTTTCAGTGTTGTCAAAAAGGACTAAGGACATCTAGCTTTGTTGTAATGGCTAAATACCCACTCAAACACAGGCAGATGGGGAAGTTTTTGTAAAATACACTTGCAAAATATATCCTGAAGGCTTGTGTGTGTTTGAAATGGAATGCCATATTTAGAGAGCTTGCAAATCAAGTTTCCATCAAAATTACTCTAGAAAAAGCCATAGTCGTTTCTCTGTGTTAAATAAAAGGTCAGTTGTCTGGTTCGTCTCCCAAATGTTATAACTTGCGCGTTAGTCATGTTGTAATTTCACTGTCAAAAGGAAATAAATGCTTCCTCTGGTGATAAATTTGATGGTTGAAAGCATTTTGCAATTAAAAATCAATCATACAATCACAAATATCCAAAATAATCGGATCATCTCTGCATTATAGTCTTTACTCGTCTGTATGAGCACGGAAATGTCACATTCTACATTATTTATCCCGAGCTGGTACAGTCAGCAGACTAAACAGACTCATGCTTAAGTCACTGTGACTTATTTGTGTCTAGCTGTGAAAACGGCATTAAATACAAGGGCAGTTTGATTTTTAGTTACACAGGCAAAAAGCTAAATGGCCAGGTTTATTGTTATTATTATTATTCCTAGTCATTATTTAAATGTTCTATGCAAATTATTTCTACAACAAATTATTTCTCTTTCTCAGACTATTGCAGCTTCCAGGCTGCTGTCCCACAGTTACTGACTCTACCCATGACCCTCCCTGTGGGGGTGGCTAAAGCCAACAGGGTTTTACTAAAAGGGATCAATAAAACTGTAAATCATTAGGCTTACAATCCCCAACTCTTCATTTTTACAGGCAGCATAGATCGCAGCTGAATCTATTAACAGCCAGGATATGAAAGTGTCCAGCTGTAAAGAGGAGAGGAGGTTTACATGCTGTAACTCACAGATGGAACAGATGACTGTTTTTAATTATTGATTATTGTGCTCGCAAAGAATAAATTAGTCAAACAGCTAGTCCTGTTTGGAGCACACGGGAGGACGCATGCATGAAGTCTATGAGAAACAAGGGATGTGCACATATTATATAAAACCTTTTTTCTATTTTCATAAGATGCAGCTCAGAAAACACAACAGCTTTAGATGAAATGTGGGCACAATCTGACACACGCACACACACACACACACACACACACACACACTCAGGAACTGAGGGGGAACAGTGCCACCTTGTTATTGACAAAGGCTACTGCATGTTGGTCCCACTCAAGCCCCCAAACTTTACATCAGCATCACCGACCCACACACAGAACCTCACAAACAAACATACACACTTCTTTATTCCATCCACTGGTACTAATCAACCCATTTTTCTTCTTTTCTCTCATCGCTGTCTAACAGTGCCGTGTGGTTCTGCCTATGCGTGTGTGTGTGTGTGTGTGTGTGTGTGTGTGTGTGTGTGTGTGTGTGTGTGTGTGTGTGGGGCACCAGTCTATTGAGATGCTTTGGTGCCGTTGTCATTTATCTTTCGACTGCCCTCCTCTCCTCCATTTTCCACCTCACACTATTCCTCATTCTTTCTTTGAACGAGAGATGCATAATTCAGAAGGGGAGCGCAGCATCCTGACAGTAGTACGGTAACCCAATCATCTCTCACGCACACACAGAGTTCTGACTCACACACAAGCATGCTCTCTTTACAAAACAACGGGTATGGGAAGACGATTTAGGCTTCAGCTTTTTTTTTTTTTTTTTAAAGAATTACGATATGAATCACAGAGAGAAACCTTTCCACTCCTCTGTGTCAAGACTAG